CATAGCTAATCAATAAGCTTTTTAAATTCACCTATCAAATCTGGTGGTGCATGCCTGTAAACCCCAGCACTGTGAGAGGCTAACACAGGAAGATAGCAAGCCTGGGCATCTTAGAGACTTACCGAGACCCTGTCTCAAAATAAAAAAAGGGCTGGGATGTACCTCAGTGCAAAAGCCAAAAAGAAGTGTTATTTTATCTCCAGCACAGTGCCAGATAAATTGCATATACTCAACAAACATATGTTGAATGAATGACATTCTGCGATACTTGTATTTTTTCACCAGAATTATAATTTTATTAATCATCAGCATTATCTAGTCACTAATATTAACATAATCTTTTAAAATTTTAGGAAATGCTATGCCCTCTAAAGGGCACATTTCTTACTAATCTTCACTGGCTGTCCACCACGGCATACTTTGCCCCTTTTGCTTTCTTAGAACTAACTGGATAAAAAATAACCTCCCTAGCTCACTGCTGTCTACCTGAGGTCACTGTTCTTGAAATCATACCCTTTCCATGATGGAGTGACTACTGAAGACAGTTTACTATTTCCAACTTGTCAAAAGGTGATTAATGTACTTTTTAGTACACTAACTTTACATCTCCTTTCCAGGTTATTTTCATTGTCCGCCTAGGCACCTTCACTCAATACTCTTGAACGTATGCAGTCTCTCCCTGTACTTCTGTGACCATACATTCCTCTCTTGACAAGACTGCTCTGCTGCCTTTGCTACTGTATTTTTATAATTTTTAAAAATATTTTGGTGGTTTAGCCATGCTAACAGCATACAAATTTCTTTTCCCTTTCACTTGGTATGTATTCTCATCTCCCTTATCTCAGACACCTTTCCACTCACACATACCAGGTACCTCAGGTGCTGCTGTTTGAGAGCAAAGTGTGGTCTACTCTGCTTTCTGCCTCTTGAGAACAGTTCCTCTACAGTTTGGTTGCCAGTGGCACTCTCATTTTTCTAGGCATCAGATAATGCTTCGAAGTTTGGACTCATTTGTCTCATAGCCAGTTCCTCTTCTCTCATAGCCAGTCTACCAGGTCTGCCTCTTTTCTGTTACCTCTAAGTACTACATGATGTGTTCTTTCCAGGCAAATTTTTGCATTCTCTCACTCTGACCCACCCCACCATAGGAGATCCAGAAGGAAAAGTTAGGTTCACTTAGTTACCTCTGTGTCCCCATCATTTTTTTTGAATGTTCATTTCTTTGTATGTTTCATGCTGCATTTTAATTTGAGATTACAGGAAAGTAAAGCACAGCTTGAGCTTCTTGAGAGCAAGAAGAATTTGAAACTCCTTTATGGTAGAAAAACTGCTAGAGTTAATATCTCCAAGGAGATAGTGCCTATTTTATATCTAAAATGTTGATTAACTACATTATTGGGATGTTTTAAGAATTCAGTAAATAAGTATCTATAAAATATGTTTATGTTTAATGATAGTAGAAAAAAGTTTTTATGTTCTTCACACTCAAACTTCTTATACCTTCTGTAGTTTTTTAATTGCTTCATGTTTGTTCATTTTGCTTTCCCAAATGTTTTTTAAAAAGCCATTTCTTTGAAATTATTCTCTGCTCCTGTAACTCATTTTTTTTCAGTTACATATTCAATATGAAAAATAAATACAAAAATCATGAGATCTAGATATGTTGGTGCATACCTGTAATCACAGCCTTGAGGTAGGAGGATTACAAGTTTGAGGCTAGTCCAGGCAACTTAGTGTGACCCTGTTACAAAATACAGTGAAAATGTCTGGGGATGTAGCTCAGTGGTATAATGCTTGCTTGGCATGCATGAGGTCATAGATTTAATCCCCTGTACTGTAGAAAGAAAAAGAAATCATAAATGAAGTAAAATACATTGTCTTGAAATCCACTGGCAGTTGCGGAGGTGGTTTACTGGTGAAAACATTAGCATATTCCATTTTAACAGTTTGCACCCTATTTTACATTAAAATTGCTATATTTGTGATATTGGAAAGCATGTGCTTGAGATCATAGCATGTTATAGGATGAACAGAGCACATCAATGGGAAAAAGAAACCCAAAGTAATAGTTACAGAAGTATACAGAATAAGAAATAGGTTATCAAAAAGGAAAGGTTAATGAATAAAAAGCTGGTGTTGGTATAATTCTAAAAATGTTTAGAAAGTGTACAATACTGGAATTGGCCTGGAGGAGATCTTTAAAAGTTAGTAAGTAATGTTAGGAATCCAATCTATATTTGTTTACATGTAAATAAAATGGTGAAATTTGATGTAAATTTACCATTTGAGAAACTTGACCATTAACAACAACAAGAACAAAATGATTAAGGGGTTGAATTAAAGCTTCTTTAAGATGGGGGTACATCTGGGCAATTGTGATCACATAACAGACCGAATTCCAAGAATTTCTTAGAACTGTGCAGACCGTGCATGATGGGATAGCCATCTGGGGGTCTTTGTTGATAAACTGTTAAAAACGTTTCTAGTGTGAATAGCCACAAACATTTTCAGTGCTTTTTTGTTGGTTGAGTAAACCGAAGAGCACAAATGCAAAAGCAAAATTTGAAGCCAAATCACAGAAGTTGCCATAAACACAGAAGTTCCCTAGTGAGGACACTGCCTGTGCCTGAATTTCATTTGTTTCTGCTACTACCATTTCTTAATTTTTCCTGGTGACTAGCCAGATTAGAACTGTGAATGAAGACAAACTGGTCTTAACCAGATGGCAGCTGAGAGATAGGTAACTTACAGGTAGATGGCAAACGTTTTTAAGGGTTTGATGTGATTATCTGTTCTGTCTTAGAATGGGAGAGATGTGCTTACTCTTTTGTCATGGGGGTTTGCAACCTTAGTGTATGCCTAAATCTACAGCTGCTCCTCATTTCCCAGATGGCATCTATGGCTGGGAGTACTTTTTACCATCTGCACTTCTCTAAGAGTTTGTGAACTCTCTCTTTTAATTATTGGGAATGGAAAAACTAATTGGTAAAGTGGTTAAATGATGCAAAAGATTTAAAAAATTTGTTGGAGTTTTTTATATTCTGTTTAACCTTTCAAATAAAATTAATACTTTTAAGGCTTTTTAACCTTCATCTTTGAGTATCTGTCATCTTTGATATTTGTAATAATCCGGAATACTTCATAATAACCATTTTGCATGTGGATTGGTATTTTGAGCCAAATTCCAAAACTCTTGCCTCCTTCCAATGCTGTAGTAAGTAATGTTGTTGGCATGTGCACAGAACAACTAACACTGAATGGATATGGAGTACAAACTTAATTGTTCCATTCATCTAATATGCTTTTAAGTCAATAAAATATAATGTCACAGTTTGTAAAAGTAATTTAGAAAGGCAAACTGTAAATGCATGTTAATGTTTCCATTTATGTTAAAGGATAGGAAAGTGGGAGAAGAAATTTTCCAGTTAGGTAATACTTTTCATAACTAGCTGAGAATAATAGAGTGACATCTGACTCTAAAAATGAACATATTTTCTGTCTAGGGAATTCTAGATTTGGAGTGTTATTAACTTTTATTTTTCCTTCTTTCAGGTTTATGAATCATAAATGTAATTCCCAAATGATGTGCTGTAAATAAATATCCTCTAGTAATCAGGAGATACAATACTTATTCACCATCTTTTCTCTTTAGGCAGGTTCTGTTGGGGAAAATTCTCTAGATAGTTTGTCCATTTATAAAATTAGACACTTGCCATCTTTGCTCATTTTCAAGTTCTCTGTTTACAAAACTATTAAGAAGGTGTGAAATGCAGCCAAACTTCCCAGTTTATGGGAAATGTCTGATGATTGCATTTCCTACATGTTCATTGTTCACACATGAAGAAATTTGGCAGCTGTGAGATTATTAAGTTTAGAATATCCAAGTCTAACCCTCACTGGGATTTTGTTTTCCTGGTTTTTGCCACTGCCATTTCACCACCTTTGTAGCCATCTTTGTGGTAAATGCCATGGTGGCATTTCTTAAGATCAGTGATCATTATTAAATTTTTCTTTGTTTTCCACTTATCAGATGCTATGAATAAATCATGGCTTAAAATTCACCTGCTGTAGAGTCCTATCTTCAGGCTATAACATACCTAAACTGTGAAGGTTCCTTCAGCTTACAATTCTCAATAAAGGTTTTTTTGTTAATACCATTATTGGGAGAGGAGGACAGTGGTGGTAACTAATCTAATGTAATAATTTAAGAATTATTCTGCTAGAAAGCTTATGATCATATACACCAGAGTTTCTAGCTAACTCTGAAAGTAGTAGGAAGTGGTTTTCATAGGTTTTTTGGTTGATTTAATTTTGATTTCATTTATTTTTTAATTCAAATAATGATTTTGATGTTGAAAACTTCACATTAGTTCTTTATGGTTATTAAAGACCCCTCATGTAGAATAGTGAGATTTTTTTCTGAATACAGGTACATATACTGTATTACTTGAGAGATTTAAAGATATGAAGAGATTAGCATGTGATTTGGTTTAAGTCGATCAAAAGTCAGCAGCTCCTTTGATCTTGAGTGCTCTTAAATAGGTACTGGATATGCACAGGCTGGATTGATCAGAGAAAAGGAGACAAAGAAATGGGAAGAGAGAACTGCTGAGAAAGTAGGAAAAGAAGCTAGAATAAAACTAGTTACTACACCAGTGTCATAAGAGGCTTAGCTCAAATACTTCCATCCCCCCATCTCTCAAAAAAATTCATTAATGGTTTTCAGTAACTGTTTTGCAAACAGTTAATGCAACCATTTAGCGATTCAGTTTGATATTTTCAATACCTTTTACATGTTTCTTAGGTCTGTTTTCAAATGATAGTGGTAATAGTTTTTATTATCCTGAAAATTATTCTAAAAATTAGCAAAATTGACTTTTTATCAATAAATTCTTTGAAAAGGTTCTATGAATGAAAAATATGATCTTTATGGTAATTATTCTTCAGTGGGAAAAGTAAATTTAGAATTTGAAATACTGTCTTTTGTGTTTCATTCACAGGCTGTAGAAGAAGAAGATAAGATGACACCTGAACAGCTGGCAATAAAGAATGTTGGCAAGCAGGTGAAGTGTACTGTACTAGGTTATACATTCATATAACAACATGCTCTTACCGAGTTAAAACAATTTTAGGGCCTATATGGTTTGTTTGTTTTTTTCCTGTCCACTCTACATTTTTCTTTTGTCCTATAAATATGATACTAATTTTAAAAGTCACTATTTATTTGATGTCAAATTCTGTTTGCTATCTATAGAGAATAAATCACAAATCTATACTTATGACATACTATCTTTAGTGAAAGTAATTTGCTAGGAATAAATTAAGATGCTTATGTCCTGAGTTAATGTTCCCAGTATTATTTTTGCCATAGATCAAGTAAGAGAATTGAATGATAGATTTATCTCATATATATTTTTAATGATATTTATCCATATATAGGTAATGTACTTGAGAAACCTTGTAACTCTTGATTATACTGAATGAAGAGAAAAGGTTTTAAGTATTTGCCCTTTCACTTTTCTAAGATAAAATACATGTTTTAATCTCTATTATCTGAGGGTGGGGGAAACATACCAACCAATTAAAGGAATCTACAGATTAATTAGACTGTTTTTAAAAAAATGTTGATTACTTTTTTTCATTTCATGGAACATGGTTATCATATTGCTGATGTTGGCAGAATCTTGATATTTCAGATGCAAGACACTAAGCTGTCTTTGCTTTCAGCCATCCTACCATATGCTCTGATCCCATCACATCTCACAAGCTATGTAGGTTTGGGCCAGGACCATTCTTGGATGGGAAGTCTCTAAGAATCACCCAGCTGCCACAAGAAGTAATATAGATAACTGATAACTGAGTTACCAATTCACCATAAAACCAATTACTTCAACAGAGTTGTAGAGACAAAGGTCTGACTTTATCATTTATCATATATCATGAATGAAGAAATCAAATCTCAATACATTCTGAATATTATAATTTAAAAACAAGTACCTCCAAAAACCAAAATGAAATATAGTTCATCTTATTTTCTCATTTTACATGATAGCCTTGCTGTCTTTTTTCACCACTTATTTTAAAATGTAATATTAGAGCACCAATTTGTAGTCTTACCCTTCATAGAATCTGAATTTCAATAAATTGCTTTCTGGGGCTGTAGTTTCTTGATGTGGATTTTAGTTAACAGCAGCAAAATAGGACTAAATTAAAAGTGAAACTGAAAAATACATAATTGACAAAGCTTAATAATCATCAGGATAATGTAAAATGTAGTAAGTACCTCACTGGTTTGACCCACTGCATGGCAAAAGGAAAACTGTCTATAATGAATTTAAACCAATATATTTTTCCCTTGCCAGTTTTGCTCAATATCTTTTACCTAAAATGCACTAAGGCTTATTTCTGAACTAAAATATAATAATAATAATAATAATAATAATACTGTGGTCTAGCCACTTAAAATTATTTGTAGCATATTGTATCTCTGGGTTCTTAAGAGTCAGTGTATTGAAATTATAAGTTAGAAAAGCACAATCAAGAAATAATTCCAGTGATTGACCTTTGTTTAAAGTTAAGAATCTTGAGAGCTGGGGGTTTAGTTCAGTGATTCCGCCGCCTGCCTCGCAGGCACAAAGTTCGAGTTCAATCCCTGGGACACCCCCCCACACCCCCCCACACCCCACCAAGAAAAGAGAAAGTTAAGAATCTTGGGTATTTTAATATTGCCCATTAGAAACTAATGTGTTAAATTATGTTTTGTTGTGTACAGTATGTATCCTTTATTTCAAAGCTTTCAAATTTCAAATATGTATACTTTATTTCAAATTTCAGAAATTAAAATACTTAATTCAAATACATACTCCAAACATAATTATAATTAAGCATTTTAATTGCTTTATCACAATGCAGTCTTAACCTTCATTTTTAACTCTTTCAAAATAGATTTGACTAGGTTTAAAGAATTACACCTATGTAATTCTCTATTTTCCAAAATAGCTGCACGAAACATTAACATTTTAGAATAGATCCAAATTGTATTTAAATTTTTCAACCACAGTGACTTTTGATCCAAGAATATTTTCTGAATCATTCAAAGCACTATTCTTGAAGTATTAAAATTATACAGAATTCCTATTTTTATCAAGATGCATAGAAAAAGTGATAAGCATTCACATTAAACTTTTACCTATTTGTACGTCTGCTTTAAATAAAATACCTCAGATATTTAAAAATGTGAACTGCACAGAATACATACACATACTTAGACATGTATACACACATAAATGCACTTTTTAGAAAATCAGATGATTGTGAACTTTATAAATATATTTGTTACCCTTTATAAAAATCTCTAGTATAGAGCCATAGCATTGATTGTATAAATCAACCTTACACTATTTATTATTTTATTAGGTACTTTTAAAAAACAGATTTAGAACCCTAAGGGTATAACAATATATTAGGAAAGTTAAATTGTAAAATATGTAAACATTTAGGTTTCTTTCTTAATTTCATCAGCTACTAAAAAAAAAATCTAAGTAATTTATATACCAGTAATAGAGTTCTTTGTTTTTCTTTCTTTTTTTTTTTTTCTTTTAGGATCCCAAACGTCACTTGGAAGAACATGTGGATGTACTTATGACTTCAAATATTGTCCAGTGTTTAGCAGCTATGTTAGACACGGTCGTATTTAAATAAAAAATGCAAAAAACTTTTAATGAAACTTTCAGTACATAGTCCTCTCTTGTTCCTAATGCTCAAAATCAAGGGACCTCGGAAGGTGTGTTTGGTTAAATGTAAGACATCTGGCATCATTTGCAGCACTGTAACACCTTTAGTCTCAGTTGTGCAATTACTTCTGTTTCTTTAGTAAGGGTCTTTGCAGATTCCAAAGTTGTACAAGAACACATCAAAGTGGACAAGTTTTGTTAAGATCTCATTCAATATTTGAAGAAATCAGTAGCACAAATATATTTTGATTGTTGCTTACAAAATAAAATACATTTACAATCCATGTCTCCTGAGGTCTTTTTGCCACTGGATAGAATTGACAGAGTAACATTTGACAGTGCTTTGCAGGTTTCACACAAAGATATGTTTCCCTTGCATTTTAAGATCTTACAGGGCTAGGGATTTAGCTCAGTGGTTCTGCCTCCTGCCTTGTAAATGGTCCCGAGTTCGATCTCCGGTACCAAAAAAAAAAGATCGTACAACACACGAAACAGTGTGATAGCAAAGTTTCATGTATGCAAAATGATTGCCATTAATGAGTGGCTACCTCATTAGTGAGTAATCCAGAAAAAATGTCAACAATATTTTATTGAGCATTTCTCAAAATATTGTATATTCAGTATCCTTTTAATATGTTATACTTTTGAGATTTCAGAGGAGTACAGAGTAAAAAGAAAAAAGGGGCAATTTTAATTTAGACTCATAGTTTTTTAAAAAGTACATTCTACTAGTGGTTTTGAAAGTGGAATTTGGCTACTGGAAACTCCACTAGCTTTTTTGTTTTGTTTTGTTTTGTTTTGTTTTTTGTTTAAATTCTTTTATCAGTATATTTTAGGTATAAAGTACATTTACATTTATCATTCGGTGCTTGTACCTGTACATGATGTATCTTGGTTCTTACTTTTTCCCCATTACCTGTGCACCCTTCACCCCCCTCCGCCCTTCCCTATTTACGTAGACTTGGTTTCCAATTTTTTTTTCATTTCTCATAATTTTTTCCACTAGGTCTTGTCTAAGATGGTAATTGAAGGTCTAATGTCTTAGAAACAGAATGAGAAAAGTAATCACAGTGAGTTTAATATGATGAGCTTATAATTAGTAATTTTGTTTCATCTTTCTCAAGGTAGAAGTACTAAATTTTCCGATAGAGAAAAACTTTTTGACTAGTGGCAGTTTTCTTAAATGACTTCAACCCTTGTCCTTTTAATCTGCTCTACAAAAGCAACTGCCCCTGTTAATACTCATGGTATGACATCATACTGAGTACTCCAAGTAGTATGACAAAACTCCGGAGACAAAAATTTAATTCTAGGCCTTACCCTTCCTTGTGAAAAAACAGACTATTTCTAAGACTATATGAAAGGAAGATTTCACTTGGAGACCTGAAATTTAGACTTTACTAGAGGTTATGAGTGCTGTCCTATTTCAAGAGTTGTAAGCTCTTACTGGTTGCCTAATGAAGTTACCAGAAACCGGACATGGCTTAAATTCATAGGATGTTTCACTGTCATTTTTGGAATAAGAGATGTTCTGAACACTTCTTTTAGATACAGTGATAGTACATTTTATGTAGGACATGTAATATGTATTAATTTAAATTGTTGGGATTATATCTAATCATTTAAAATTAAAATAAGTACAAGTTATTTTTCCTCTTGCCTAATTCAAACTCCTGTGCAGGATTTTGGATATATGATTTTTTTATATAAGGTTCTACCTCTCAAGCACAAGGTCTGAGTTCGATCCCTGGTACCAAAAAATAAATAAAACAAGGTTCTATTATTTACTTCACAGCTGGGTAAGATTTTTTTTTTGTATAGTTTGACCTTACAAGAAAATCTCAATATTTCAAGGGCTTGTCTCAATATTATTCAGATTGAAAGATGTTTTGTTCTTGTTGTTCTTACTGTTTTTCCTTCATGATGGTTCCTGAAAGTACCGAGTGAGTACTGTGACTGGAAAGAGTTACATAGTGCCTATTGTTGCCCTTCTTTGATCACTTGACTTTCCTGAATCCCACATTCCATTTCCTCTCACTTGGTTCATATTGGAGGTGGTCCCAATTTCAAAACCTTGTCAGAATTCGTCCAAGCAAAAAAAGGTCTTTTTTTTTGTCTTAAGCAGCTCAGGAAACATCTTTATTAGAACGTACAACTATTTTACCAGCAGCCCAATGCCTTCGGGCCAGTTAGGCAATGAAACAACCTATTTAATCACAAGCTCAATGAGCTATTTAAGACTGCGTGTGTGTGAGTGCGCGCGTGTGTGTGTGTGTGTTTTACTGTTACTCATCCACCATGCAGAGTTAAAGCAGCTCTAGAAACAAAATGTCTTGCCTGCTTCTAGAGCTGCTACAGATGTCCCTGCTTTCCTATCAAACTAGTATGGGGGCACAGACAACTTCAGCCTCATTGTTCAGAGTGTGATCTGCCTTGACCGACAGCATCTGAATCTTATATGGAAGTGTGAAATACATACATGCACACAAACTAAGCCCCACCCCAGATGTACAATCAGAAGTGAGAATCCTGGTGTGATTCATATGAACTTCATTTTATTTTTGAGATACAGTCCCATTATGTAGTTCAGGCTGGCCTTGAACTCACTATGTAACCCAGGCTGTCCTCAAACTTTTGGAGATCCTTCTGCCTCAGCCTCCCAAGTGCTGAGATTGCAGGCATGTGCCACCACACCCAGTTTATGTCCATTTTAAGATGCACTTGTCCAGGGATTTAGCTTAGTGGTTCCGCCGCCTGCCTCAAAAGAGGTGCAAGGTCCCGAGTTCAATTCCGGATACCAAAAAAACCACACTGGTCTACAGAATAAGACAGTTGTGATCCTGAGGAAAGTCTTTGTTTTCCTTGAGCACATTTAAATTTAAGACAGTATACATGTGAAGAATCACTGTATATTTAGTACTGGTAGCCCGAGGTGGGTCAGAGTGCACATTTATCTTCCAGTTCTGAGGAAGGTGTACCCAGTACTTATCTGTTCTCTTATACACCTTCCTTCACACGTCACTTTAGCATTCTTCATTTCTTGAAAAGCCAGTTCAAAGTGCCAAGAATACCAAAGCCTCGAAAGGAGCCCAGGTGGTGTCTCGCCTTCTCTGTACATACTTAGGCTGTGTCCCTCTGAGGACTGAGCAAAATACGGTGGGAAGCAGCAGAGGAAGATGCACTGGGAACAGGAGTTAATGATGAAACTTAAAACTGGTGGCCAAAGGGGGGCTGAACTCTCAGGAGCACAAAAGGCAAGAGAAGGGCAAGGTAGGAAAATGTGTCAAGTGGTGTGGGTGCTGGCCCCCTCCCCTGCGCCTCAGTGCCTCAACTGCTAAGACTTCGCTGGTTTGTGAAGCTTCCAATCCATAAGCTGAGATTTGCTTTCCAAGGGAAAAGTGGATCTGGCTTTATTTTTCTCCCAGAAAATTGTCTCGGCTTGAGTCTGCGACATCTGGTCACCAACCTGCTCGGCCCAGGGCCGCCCGCGCTGGGCCTTGCCCGCGGCGCCCTGCTGGAGGTCGCAGCTGGTGCCCTCTGTAGCCTGCGCGCCCAGCCCGCTTTGGGAGGGCGGCGCAAGTCCGGGCGCGGCGCTGACCGCTCAGTCCGCCACGCTGCTCTAAGTTGCCGTACAGCCGCCAGTCGGCGAATCTGATAAAGGCCTATCCGGACTGTTCCTAGGACCCACCCAGTGGCCTCAGGGCCTCGCTTCCCTAAGGGAACTGTTTTGGCCCTGGGAAGCGGACTAGCGCGCTCGAAGGCGGAGCCCCGCCCGCCAGTTGGCCACCTCGCTGGACTGCATGGAGCCTGGCGTTGCGCTCCTCCTCCTCATTCCCGCGTGGCTCGGAGTCCGGGAGGAAAGCCGCGGGAAGACAGGCTGGCAACTGCCAGGCCAGAGAAAGCAGCTTTGGGCGGATAGAGCCTCCTCTGCTCTGATTCAGGCCATTGAAGGCTCCTCTGTGGATACCTGGGAGATCTCTTCACCTCGGAGTTGGTTTGGGTCTCGTGCCATATATTTGTGCCAACATCCCTTTAAATTGGTTCTTTTCTCCATTCCCCTTAGATTCTTCCTCCTTTTTAAAATTACTGGCATGGATTCTTTTTCTCCTCTCCAGATTATATAAATATTACACACACACACACACACACACACTCACACACAAGTCTTCAGTAAGATCTGCTTTGATACCACTTCTACTCTGTCTCCAGATTAGCGCTTCTGGAGAATCCTTTTGCACCGGGGACTCAACCCTTTCTTTTCCTGGCCAGGCTTTTGAACCTGTCGCCAAGTCAGTACCTCTGAAAGAAAGGAGTGCAGTGGGACTGGAAAGATGCCTGGCGCCTGCCCCTAGTTAGATGCTCTTCAGATAATCTGCAACCAAGTTCGCTGATAGAATATTTAGTAAAGACCTGGTAAACATCACTGCAAATATATTAAAACACTTCGGCCCGACAGCTTATGATTATTTCAAAACTTAAAAAGGAGATCATAGATTGTTACTGTTTCTGTGCTCCACCAAGAAATTGAACCACCTTCCCGAGGTGGGTGGATGGTGGGCGAGTTGCCGCTTTTCGTCGTCCCCACTGCTCCCCCTCCAGCTTATCACGGTGACTCTCAGCAGCAGGGATTTATTTAGGTCTGTATGTAGTTTTAAGGGTGGGGGATGCAGTAGGGGTGCCAAGGACACGCAGGACCTGCTCACAAAGCACCGGTGCAGGTGTTGTGTGCTTCTGTATTAACTGGAAAAGACAGACTCTGGAACTTTTACAGGGCGAGAAGAGGCCACCGGCTCGCGCTTTGTGTACTTTGCACTTGAAATCATTACATTCAACTGAATATTTGGCTCATTCGGATCCGAAAAGTCTCCTAGCATCATCGAATTCCCTCCTCCACCCCTCCGCTCAAAAGGGGGGAAGGGGGAAGGTAGGAAAAATGTTTAGTAAATCGCACATTTTTGGATCTTCTAAAGCAGTGGTCACAAAGCTTAAAGGTGACACAACAGAGCTCACGTAAACCAACACACATTCCCCACTCCCCAAGCCAACAATAAAATCATCCCCTTCAATTTGCCATGATCGTCGCGACCAGGAGCCAGGTGATTATCCTAATTAATGTCTATCTAATTAAATTACTGTCAGCAGTTAACCAATGGCAGGAGCCGTTTCATCGGCTGCACAAGCAGCGAGATCAAAAGTGAGCCTCTTCTGATTGCTGCATAGTGTCAATTGGCCAATCTCTTCTCCCAGGGAAAAAAAAGTAAATCAAACCTTTGAGAAGCATTTG